GAGTCTGCTCCGATGTTCTGTGGTGAGGCTTCTGGGACAGCCAGAGAGGCCCTCGCCCTGCTCTGGGCTCGAGAAGGAAAGCCCAGGACCCGCTTTCCAGCAGTACCTTCGGGGGCAGTTCTTGAGTCTCCAGACTCCTGCAGACCCGGCCTAGCTCTGCCTGGCGGGTCGTCCGTCCGCCCTGCCCGTGAGCTGAGCAGAGGCCCCACCTTGGCCTGCTCTTTGCAGCGCTCAGCTTCCATCTGCCTCCCCTGGTCTCTTCCTCCTGTTGTCTTGCCCCTTGGGACTGTGCCCTCACAGAGCTCAGAACTGCCGGCCACTCCCCCGGCCCAGCTGGTTACCAAGGTCAGGGCCTCAAGGGGCTGCAGGCAGGACAGAGAGGTGTAAGTGTTCTCCCAAGTGACCACATTCCTGCGCCGATCGATCGGGATGTGTTTTTATACATCGGGTGACAAGATCAGGCATTTACCTGCAAACTGTCTCTTCCCTCTGCTGTTAGATCTGATCACAGAGCAGGTGGTCCTCGTCCCCCAGGGACTGAAGAGACAGGAGATGGCCTGTGGGGACAGCCTGTCACTGGCACCCGGTGTGATGAAATGTGTTTTGTGGCTAGTGTATAGGCTTTGGGTGGGGAGGGAGGTTAGTCTGCGTATCTATAAACACCATCATTTCTACAATCATCGAAATTGAATGTTTGCTAGAATTTGTACAAGGTGAGGTGTTTCCTGAGATCGCTAAGATAACGTGGGTTTTGTTAGAGTAAACCAGAGATGTGGACAAAAACCCAAACCAGACCCCAGGATGGTTCTACCACCTGGTCGGCCCCTCTGAGCTGACCCTGTGAGGTCCACAGAGGGGGGTTCTCACACCCCAACCAGTCGCCCCCCAGGCAGGCAGGCAGAGGTGCCACTAACAACTCCTCGGAGCTGCCAGACACTGTTCTAGGCCTTTCCCACTGGAGAGTAAGAGCCCGAGTTTCGCCCCTCCTGGGGCTGCACAGGGATTGCAGGGCCAGTCCTCACCCCTGCAGGCTCACGCCGTCTCTGCCACCTGATGGGTGCCCACCTCCCGACAAGGGTGGCAGGGACAGTTTTCTCATCCTTGGCTCAGTTCTAAAATGGCTGCCAGCCTCTACCACGTTTGTATTTTGATGATGTGGGAACTGGAATCCTGTCTGTTTTGCTTATCTGGGCACAGGTGTGCACAGCCATTGTGTACAGGTGTCCATGCCACCCCTTTGTACAGGCCCTGGTACAGGCCCTGATGGGGCACTAGGACTGGGCCAGCGGGCCACCCATTGCTCGCATCTCACAGTGAGTGGCCAGTACCAGCTGTGGTGTCTGCTCACGTGTTGCAGGCCCCACCTCCCGGTCCCTGCATCACACTGTGAGCGCTGAGCTGCCCAAGTGCACCATCAGCATCAGGGGGGCTACAGGGCCCCCCAGGCATCTGCACTGGGGGTGACCATCAGAGGGCACCCTCCAGGCCACTGTCTCTTTTCTTCTGGCTGGTTATTACCCACATACCCAGGCCCTATCATGCAATTTCATTTTTCCCGTGGATATTTCGAGTTTGGGACACTCGGGGAAACCCACAGGTGCCCTTGCCTGGTAATTTTCCATTTTTTGAAAGAATTGTCTTAATGCAATTTTTCTACTTCTTAGCTTTTTTTTTTTAATCTGGTAAAGGAACCAAGGCAATCAATCAAGAAAATTATCAATCACATTTATCTTCTCGGCCCACCCCCCCCCCAAAAAAAAAGCTAAAGCCAACTTTGACTCTTGGGGCAAGTTGCCCACCTTCAGGGAGCAGCCGGCCTGTGCGAGCTCATAGCAGCAGGCGCGCCTGAGCACAGACCTGCAAAAAGCCCTATCAGCTGCCAAACCAGCTGTCAAACCAGCGACTATCACAAGTGGTGGTTGTTCTCCTGAGAACAGAGTCAGGAGGCAGCCTCACATGCAGAGGAAGCTTGGCTTCTCACACCAGGCATCCCTATGTGACCCAGCTCACGGCTGACCCCTTCTCGGGCGAGGCAGGCGCTGCCAGTCCCAGCCTGGGTGTGCTGGGTGCCGCTGCCCAAGGCCTCTGGGTGGCCAGCCCATCAGCATCTTCTGCATCCCAGACCGGATCCAGTCAGTGGAGGGAAGTCTCGGGTACAGCATGGGCACCGGGGCTGGGCTCGCACATCCTCAGCTCTAGATTATGAAGCAGTTTGCCAGCAAACGGACCTGTTCTGGGTGCAAGGAAGCAGCAAGTCTTGAGCTGCACTGAAGCACGAAGGTGACAAGAGGCGATGGCCACGCAGGCGCAGCCCTGGCCCAGGCGTGGGGCCCATGTCCGTGGGGTGTCGTGTCTTACCTGCTCATCAGCCTGCGTCAGCCGCACGAACGAGAGCCACGTTCCCCGGGAAGGATTGGAACAAAAAGGAACCTTGTCGGAGGCCCTGGCTCGATAAGGTGTCTCTGCCCATCTTTATGTGTCCAGCCAAAGCCTCCAGGCCCTCTCCCGAGCGCGCCCCCCACCTCAGCTAGAGAAAGTAGGCAGGTAAGACGAAGCTTGAAAGACCCCTGGGGAAAGGGAAAAGTGTGAATTCTGAGACTCAAATGTCCAAGCGGGTGTCGCCCGCCTGATGGGGCCGGAATGATACCAGGACTTGAGATGGTCAAAGCGGCGTCGTGTTCCCAGCGTGCCCAGCGGGCCGGCTGCACAGGGTATCACCAAGACCTCTGACGGCTCGCAGCCCTCCTGCCCAGGACATGTGAATGGATCACGTCATGTGGGTTTGGAACTGGTTACAAATGTCTGAAAACCAGTGGTTGGTGACTGACCACCAAGGGTAGTGAATGTGTTCTGGGTGCTCTGTACGAGCTGGCCTGCCAGGTGTTTTTATCCACAGCCCGAGTGATGTCTAGAGGTTTGCTGATCAAATCTGGGAATAATGCAAGTTTGAGGGAGCCGATGAACATGGTGGACAGCCGAATTTAAATTGGAAATGGTTTTGGTGGGCTAGAAAACCTCCAGAGCAAATTTCAGAGATGTGTCCAGCCTTACACCTGGAAGGTCAGATACAAACTGTCGGTAGGATTTGAGAAGCTTGGCCTGAGAGATGCTGGAGGGTGCAGAGCACGGCCCCCTCAACCGGCCACGCCGGCTGCTGCTGCTGCGCCCACGGAGGTGACAGTGTTTTTAGAAGGGCGTAGCTGGGAGGCGCTGACTGCAGGAGCTCAGGCGTGAAACAGCAGCAGGGCTTGTTCTCAGAAGGCTTCCAAAGGAGGGATGGTGGGGAGAAGCAGGCCCCCAACACAGGTAGCAGCCACAGCCCTGAGGAGCAGGGGGGCCAAGAGACTTCTACTCGGGGCTTCCTCCTGGTCTGGGGACATGGGCACGGGCCAGGTGCGTTGAGATCCAGTGCGGGAGGAAGAGTGAGCCCACTGAGGCAGACGGAACAGCCTTCTGCAGAGGGAGCGCCACCAGCGAGGGGGGGGGGCGGTGCAGCGCTGCGTGGTCCGGACCCGCCAGTGGCGAGTCCTGGCCTCAGGAAGAGACGGGGCACCGTGCGGCCTGGACCCACCAGGAGTGGTCTTGGCCTGGAGAAGCAGGAGGGTTGAGGGCGGAGAGTGGGTTCACGTAGAGAAGGGAATGGGCTTCTCGTTAGTTCAAAGGGCCAACTCAGTTGCCCTGGAGTCCCAGGTGGCAGCTAGTGAGGGGCCGAGTCTGCTCCCTTTGAGGAAGAACTTCGCATCTGGGCCAGTGAGGGATATTCGTGGACCATATTCTAGAAGAGGCCGTCCTTCCTTGAGTGGGAAATGAGCCGCTGTGCCCACACAACCCATCAGCCCGGAGAGGGCCTGGCATCGCCTGCGCCTCCCACTCTCACCACACTGCCCACGGGCCTTCCTCCAGAGCGCAGCTGCCAGGGGCCCTGACCACAGCGGCTGCGCGTGTGTGCGAAGACAACCGAAGTGAAGCCGAATGGAAGGAAGACCGTCGCCCGCGTGCTGCTCTAACCCGAGTCTTAGCCCATGTTCCCGACCCTAATGAAGTCGGGAGGAGCCGTAGCCTCAGCTGGGAAAGCACTGTCCCCCAGAGGCCCTCGGGGTCACTCGGCCACCCTCCCCTCCTCTAACACCCCAGGCTCTGAAGGCCCCCCCGATCCCCACCCCCCGCAAGCAGAGGCAGGAAGGCAGTGCTGGGCACTCTCCCCTGGCCCCCAGGAGCCCTGGTCTTCCTCAGGAGAGACACGGTGCCTGACCCTCCACCAGCCCCCTCGAGCCTCCTAGACCCACATGCTGAAAATAAGGACATTTGTAAGAGTCTCGTGTCTCACTCTACAGCCTTGCAGTCTGTTCGGCGGCGGTACGAAAGCTCGCTCGCGACCACACCGGCCATCAATTTTGTAATCTACTTCTAAATGGGAAAAGAGGTGACAAGTAAAGTTACACCCTGCTGTTGTGTCGTGGCCTGGCCAGGCTGGCTTCAAAGTCCAGGAAACCGCCCAGTCAGAGGCCCAGAGTCTGAGACCGGAGCGGGCCGCAGGCCTCCCCACCCACAGCGCCGCCTTCCGAGACCCCGCCCTGGGCGCCCTCCCCTGCGCACTGGCTGCCTGCAGGGCCCCGGGCGCAGGCACTTAGCAGAAGTGGGGCTCGGTTCAGGTGTTAGGGAGCCTGGCCGCAAGGACATTCTCTGGTCGCTTGATGTCAGGAGCCTCAGGCGCCTTCCAGGTCGGCGTCTTGCCAGCATCGTGGGTCACACTGGGCACCTAAGAAGGTGCCCGGGACCGGTTACTCCACACCTGGTGCTTCAGGAGCTCGGCCAGGTGGAGAAGGCCGGATCTCTCTGAGTACCTGCATTCTGGGTGCCCCCATGAGCTCACCCTCCCCTGCCTCCCTGGCAGGCCCTCCCCTCTCGTCTCTCAAATGAGGAGGAAGCCTCTTGGGACTGGCAGGGGCAGGTGGGTGCAGGGCCTGGCCTCACCGAGTTTCTGGTGTGTGTGTTTTCAGGTGGCCCGGCTGATGGAGATGGGGTTTTCCAGAGGGGACGCGTTGGAAGCCCTCAGAGCTTCGAATAATGACCTTAACGTGGCTACCAACTTCCTGCTGCAGCACTGATGGTTCCACCACCACGGGGACCGCCGAGCTGACACCGGTGGGCGCCATCCTGGAGCGGACCAGGCTTGGCCCGCACGCCCTGGCGCCCACGTTCTCACCGCCCTCGTGGGCACGGGGTGTCCCTGCTGCCCGCCACCCGTAATTCCAAGATTGTCTCCATTAGCTTTCAAAAATAAGTTTGCCATTAAATTAGCATGTATTTTCTATCTTTTATTTTTTTATTGGGCATTTTCCTTAGTTTGGAGATTCAGCACTCATTCCTAATGTGTTTAAAGTGCATTAAAAGCGCAGGTCTCTGCAGCAGCTGAGCGGCGCGCCGGGTGGGAAATGAGTGCTGTTGTGATGCCCTTTCCTGTAACGCATCACCCCACGTCACACCCGATCATAGTTGTTGTGAAAGGGGCAGGGGGCTGTTATTTTAGAAAGGACATATTTGAAATTATCCTTACAGAATTTTTTTCATCACTCGTTTTTTTCTCGAATTTGCTTTCAAACCCCAGTGGCTCTTCAGAGTTCTGGTTCCCCGGATGTGAGCAGGGCCCGTCTGCTGCAGCCGGGAGTGGCCTGGGGAGAAGCAGGACGAAATCCTGCTCTGCTGTTCCGGCCCAGTCTGGTCCGGGGAGTTTCCCCAGCTCCTCCCACCCGCTTCCACTAAAGAACCGTACTAAGTTCCAATTCAAGATTCTGGAATACTCCATGCAACAAGACGGGTTAATTTTGCTCAAAATAGCCACAGCAAGCCACTCAGTTTGGGGGTGAGAAGGGGTCTCCCGGAGCAGTCACGGCCTAACCCGCGTGTCCCGGGGACCGGCCAGTGTGCCTCGACCCTAGAACAGAAGAGGGAACACCTGAGCCTGCCGTCCCCTCTGCGAGGCCAGCCCCTGGGGACCAGACCTCCCGGGCCCAGGAGAGGTGGAGCCGCGAGCAAAGGATCCGACAGTGCGAGGCGGCAGGAGGTGTGCCTGAGCGTGAGGAGATGGAAAGCAGGGAGACGTGACATCTAAGGAAATTGTGCAACTATTGTGTTCTGAGAAACGAGCAGAAATGTATCAAATTGATGCAAATTTCAATGTGTGATACAATAAAGTTTTTAATGTGTTTTGCTTTTTGGTGTCTCTGTTAGATTGACCGAAATAAAACTTTGTCACAGGCTATCTCCCATCCCCGCCCAAAAACATTTGCCAAGCTGCTCCTCTTTCTGTAGCGGGGGTGGGTGATTTTTGGAAGTGAGAGAGGGCTTTTGTTCCTGTTCAGCAGCCTCACCCCACATCGCCCAGGCGTTACCGGACTATACCCTGGAAACCCGGTCCTGACGGGCCATGAGCTGCCCAGAATGGGGTGGAGGTGACTTTCACAAGCACAGCTGGTCCCAAGCACCCCCAGAGATCTGAGTTCCCCATCTCAGGTTATGAGGGTCGGTGGGTGGTGGTGGAGACACCCTTACCACATTCCCCAACCAAGGTCGCCCAGGAAATGGCCATAGAGTGTGCTGGGGCACACCCCAACCCGCTTACTGCAGTGCCGCCCCCCATTGCACACAACTCTATCCAAAACACCCCCTCCTTGTTCTCCTCCCTTTCAGGCAGCCCCGGCTACAGCAGACCAAAGCAGAGCAACATTCCCAGCCCCTGGGGACTTCCTGTGCTGCTGTGCCATGAGATGGAGCAAGGAGCCCCTGTGATGATGGCAGCCAGGGGCCTGCGTTAAAAAGCATCAGCCCCCGCGGTTCTTGTCAGATTCCCACCCGTGGGTGACCCGTGTCCTGCGGGGAGCCCTAGTGTCCCCCACTTGGAGGACCCCAGGCCAGTCCAGGTGGTGCCACCCTGGAAACACTCCTCGGGGGGCCGCGGGAGACCCCCTTGGGGCTTTCCCACCACCTTCCAGCCTCTTCTGCAGAACTTAGCGCTGTGGAGGCCTCACCGCCAGTGGGGACCCCGCCTTCCCCTCCAGGGCCTGCTGCCCACCGGGCCCCTTTCCACTCGGGGCCACAGTTCTTTGGCCTTCGCTGGATTCCCACCCTGGCGCGCTCTGGCTCCCTGCAGGTACTCACCCAACCCGCAGCCACCCCGCTGCCAGAGTTGGGGGACCCGAGAACACCCACACCTGTGTTGACCTCAGACACCTTTCAGGCTGCTGGGACCCCCAAGGAAAAGCACCTGCGCGCGTGCACAGGACCCCGGCCAGAGGGGGGCGTCAGAGAGCCGCTCGAGCAAGAGCTCGTTCCGGCTTTGCGTTTTCTTTTTCTCGAATTTTATTGATTTACGATTCGTTTACATAACTAGATAGCTTGGGAAGGACAGGCGCACACCTCCATGCCTGCCAGGCCTCCCCCGCTGCCGGAGCTCCAGGGCCGCGGCCCAGCCGCCTCCCTCTCGCCCCCACCCCTCTCATAACCACTAACTTTTCACAGAGTTATATTGGCTGCTTTGGCAGTTTTCTGTGGTTATTTCCTTTTTAAAAAATTTTATATGTTTTTTACATCATTTTTCATTTTTGCACAATATATGCATTTTCATCTTGGTTATTGTCCCTGTAAAATTCCCACCACCCTTGTTTTGACCCCACTCCCTCCTCCCCCCCGTAGTGTAATTGTTGATTTTGATTTTTACTTTATTATAATTAGTTTTTTTCCTGGTCCCTTATTTAGGTTTTCTAGATTCCTGCTATGAGTGAGAACATCCGGTATTTTTCTTTTTCTTTCTGACTTATTTCGCAGAGCATGATCCCTTCCAGCACCATCCATGTTGCTGCAAATGGCATGAGTTTATCTTTTTGACTGCTGTGTAATATTCCATGGTGTATATGGACCACATCTTCTTGATCCAGTCATCTAGTTTTGGGCATTTGGGTTGCTTCCATAGCTTAGCTATTGTAAACAGTGTGCTATAAACATAGGGGTGCAGGTGTCCTTTTGAATTTAATGTTTTTGTGTCCTTTGGGTAAATACCTAGGAGTGGAATTGCTGGATCATATTCCTTTGATTATTTCTATTTCACAAGTGAGTAAGCCCATCCCAGAACTGTCTTTTACTTTATGACTTGTTTCACTTGGCACCATCAACTCTACATCCATCTATTTTGTCCCAAAAGGCACCAGTTCATCTTTCGGTAACAAAATGCATGCAGTTTTTGTTAGGGGGAAAGGATGTCCTGAGATAATCTCATACAGGCTTTGTGGACTCCACCCCCACTCCAGACTAAAGCCATCAGGACATTGGGAAAGACAAATCCCATCACCACCAAGGGGAGGGTGGCTGGGACCTGAGGGTGGAGTTGGGCAGCCAGGTTGGATATAAAAACCAAACACGTGGGCCTTGCTCGCTCTCTGGCTCGCGATCGCTCGCCTCCTGGCTTCACGGCTCCTGGCTGGCGGCCAACTCTGAGAGCGCCATTTTGGGATTCCTGATCGGCAGATCGGGTAGGACGCATTTAAAACTTTGTCTCCCACTTTTCTCCCAGTGTAACAGGGTGGTCCCCAGGAAAGGGGGAGGTTCCCTGCCCCACCCAAGGGAGGGTGGAGCTGAGCAGGAAAGGAAGCTGAAGAAGAGACTGAGGAAGGAAGCAGGATGGAGCCAGGAGACCTGGAGGAGGCGCATGGAGCCTAGAGACACGTAAAGAAACTGCGCTTGTCTTTTGGTCGTGGACTGGGTGACACAGATGTGGGTGAGACCCGTGGGGAGGTGACAATGGCAGTTTTTATCTTGATGTTGATTTTGCTCTTTTCCTTCCGGGCTTGTCCGGTTGTTTGTGACCCTTTGCTGTGGGTCCCCACTGGAAGATGCTTTAGACTTGTGGCAGGCTTTGGGGCCTTGTTCTGGGCCAATCCCATTTGGATGGACTTTTACCCACGAGGGGACGGGTCACTTTGGGTGCTTGATTTAGAAACTAGACTCTTTGCCTTTCCTGTATTGTTTCCTAGTTTTATTAAAGTTCCTTCCCATTAAAGTCTCCTATGTTTTGTGTTGATGCGGCGGATGGCAGAACCCATGTAGAATAGGCAGGTTTGTGGGGTTTGGGCTGCCCCTCTCCCTGTCCTATAACACCAGAGCTGTACATTTCCTCATTTCCCTTTCCCTTGTAAATAAACCTTTTATTAACCTTTCACGTGTGCCTGCAGTAGAGCATTGATAAGTCCTTTTAAGCGCGCGGGTGAGGACCCACAGTCGGGCACCCCGTTTTCTATCGGGGTTGCTCTACAACATTTTCAAGCCAGCAGATTCCAGATTGTGAAATGAAAAGAGGAAGAAGGAAAGAAATGTCCATAGCAAACCTGCTTCTCTCCAAGTTAGGACGGCCTGCCTGAGTCCTGATTCCTAAGTGTCCACCTTGGGTTAGCAAGGTAAAAGCTTCCAGGGAACTGAGCACAGAATCGTGAATGCATTCCAGTATCATTTTCGTGTTTTTTGCATCCATGAGTTTATCTAAGAACAGTGGTTCTTAAATTGGAATGAAAGCGTTTAAACCAGAAACTTGATTTTTACAGTTGATTTTTTTTTTTTAATTCTTCTAATCACGGTAACCTCAGGACTCTCTCCATCAGATATCGCTGCCACGTGCCCCGTCGTCCACCACCACGGTCATCTGTGCTTCCTTCCCTCTTCGTTCCTGCTGCTCCCCCACCCAGCCCCCTCTGGATGCTTCCGTTCTTCCGTCAGTTTTCAAGGGTTAGCTTTTCGGGTTGTCCTTCTCTGATCTTACTTTCGTTTCTCTCTATTCCACTTATTAATGACACCATCCGTAAACCAGAAACTTTAGGGTTCTGTTTTCACCATGTCATTTGAATAATAGTTACGAAAATCCACAAGTTACTTCCTTCATAGTCCCTTACCCACTTGTGTATCTCTAGAGAGATGGACCTTTACGGAACGTCAACGTGGACTTCCAGGCTCCGACTGAATTTTTTATTATGAAACTGTAACCTTAGATGTAAGAAAGTGGCTAGAATCGTGTGAATTTAGTCATCGTGCTCAATATAGCCATTTCTAATGGGGAGCCCCCAAAAGCTAAATGTGGATGAGAAAGCTGGTATTTCAGGCGAAGACTGGGCAGCGGGGTCGGTAGACGCAGCGACGGAGCCTGGGGAACGAGTCACGGTCTGAGAGAGGCAGGGCTGGAGGACAGGCAGGGCGTGGGAAGTGGGAATGGACTGAGACTATGGAGAGAGGAGGGGGGTTACCACGGGAGCTTCAGCAGGGCTGCCGTTCCGGGGAAGCAGAGAAGTCACAGGGGAGTCGGGCGAGGGCAGCGTGGGGAAGTGAGAACACCCACGCGGGGAGGTCAGGATGGCGGAGCTCAGGGTAAGGTCAGGGGCCAGGTGAGGTCAGGTCCCAGAAGCCAGAGCTAGCACCTGAGGACAGGTGAGGAAGCAGAGGGGCGGGCACACACCACCCAGGAATTCTAGTGGGGCCAGCTTGAAGGTAAACCATCCAGTAGTGAGCCGGCCTGAGATCTGGGCCCAAGAAGGCATTGACCTTGGACACCAGGAAGGACAGGCCAGGCCTCGGAAACTAGAGGAGGTGATGATTAAAGAAACTACAGGTGAGGGTCTCCCCTGGTGGCGCAGGTGGTTGAGTGCCGCACTGTGAAGCTGTCCGCAGCCTCTGCAGCGCCGGTTCGATCCTGGCTGGCCGGCGAGAATCCCACATGGCGCAGCAGACCTCTCCTGTCTCGCCCGCTGCTCCCCTCAGCAGTGTATTTCATCAGTCTGCCTGTTCTGTTCCCCGCTCTGTCTCTGGTGATTCCTCTCACCCTCCCATGCATCTGGCCTGTGCCCCGGTTCTTGTATACAAATAAATCTTTTAAAAAAAGAAAAGAAAAGAAACCACAGGTGAGGTATATACTAAAGAGCAAAACTGAAGAAACTCAAGTAGTTGTTTCTACTATTAGGGCACAAAAGGGGTCACTGCGCCCACTCTGAGTTCTTCTAGGCTGGCAGATACCCTCACAGGCATCAGAACAAGTGGGAAAGAAGATGAGTAATAACATGGATACCTCCTGTACACATGGGAGAGGCCCCGCATGACTAAGCAACCCAACCACTTGGTGTCAGACACCATTTTAAATAGCTCAGCTGAAACAAGGGAGGTGGGGCAGAGAAGGGAAAATCAGCGAGGGAGTTTACCTAGGAAGCA